TGTTATAATTTATCGTCAATTGTAGGGCTACTAACGCTTTAAACACCGTAATTTATATATATATATATATATATATATATATATATATATATATATATATATACAATTTATGGGGGCATCTTCCTTTGGGTTTGCCCCGGGCAGCAACATAGCTCTGCACGCCACTGGGGTGGGGTGGGGGGCTGGGGGGGGGGGGGGGGTGGGGGAGATAAGGGTTGGATGGCTTGTGGGCATGGGGAAAAAATTATTGACACATTATATTAGAAAAAAATTCAGACAGGTACGAAGGGGGGGGGGGGGCGGGGGGGAGAGCGTGCGTATGGAAAAAAATTCACGCTAGTGGTCTCTCATTTATAAAGACATCACGGGGGAAGCGGGGAGGTCCGAAATAAATTCGACTTTTGTAGAAGCGTGTGGATTGTGAGGCGGGGGGGGGGGGGGGTGGGCTGGGCTGGGCTGGGGGAAAAATTATTGACACATTGTATTAGAAAAAAAATCAGACAGGTACGCAGGGGGGGGGGGGGGGGGGAGAACGTGCGTATGGAAAAAATAAAGATAAATGTCTCGTTTGTGAACTTCCTAACCATCAGATCATTTTGTCAGACACTAGCCAGCACTGGTCAGCCGACCTAGTATTTGCTGAATCTAATAAATTTAGAAAAGGTTATTCATTTGTAAATGAATTAATTGAAATTATTTATCGTCAATTACTATTAATTAATGACGTCACTTAAAAAGGAGGGTGAGATGGTCTACTTTTTTTAGTTGGTAAAACAGCGTGACATCATTTGTGGATGCCCTCTAAATAAGAAGGTTATCCGACGCGTGAGCTGGCCACATAGAGCTGAACACACATTTTCTTATTAATCTTTCTTATTTGCTGTCTTGAGAACTAGCCTGATAGTGCACACACTAATCCTTAATTATATTTTTTGTTCTTCTATTTTCACCTTTGCATATATTTAACTGCCCAGTGGCGTAGGAGGGCGGGGGGTTAGGGGGGGTCATAACCCCCCAAAGACCTCTCGGTATATATATAAAGTATGAGGGGGGTGTAAATCGAAAGTTTGATGGGGGGTGCAAATCGAAATTTTGAGGGGGGGGGGGTGCAAATCGAAATTTTGATGGGGGGGGGGGGGGTGCAATTCGAAAGTTTGAGGGGGTAGGGGTGCAAATCGAAAGTTTGTACCCGGGTAAAAATTTGAACCCCCCCCCCATGAGACGATCCTGGCTACGCCATTGGAGCTGCCCACAAAAGATGTCCATGATATTTGTCTATTAATTTGTCAATAAGATACTTTTATGAACCGTTTTTGAAAACAGAGTCTAAAGAATAATATAATATATCGGGACCAATAATTAAACATGTCTCTGTTTTATGACTTACTTTCTGACTTCTTCCTTTATGGCTCATTGGGAGCAAATGGCTGCCACCACACCTCTCCACGGGCTCGTTTTTTGGGCTGATCTACACGTCAGCTCAGCGGCCTTTGGTTCTCCTACTGTTTATTTCCAAAATCTGTTTGGCCGGCACACTTTCTTTTTTCCCTGGGTGTTTTCACTTCATAACTTCTCTACTATATTATAGTCTTCCCTACTTATGGTATGTCCAATCCATCCCCGTATTAATAGGGCTGGCATCTATTTGAATGTCATACTGGAAATTAACTTATAATGATTCAGCTAAAGAAACATTTCCACATTTTCGCGTTTACTTTTCTATTTTTGTTGACTCTATTATTTAGCCTTAACTACCAGTATTCTCCTTCTTATTTTTTCTTCTTAGTTCTTAATGTTAGTTTTGGCAGAGATCCCCTCAAAACACAAATAAATATACGGGCCAACTTGTTATGCGCCATTTAGGCCATTGACTCCGATTTCAGCCTGCTTTTCTTTTTGGAATTGCTTCTATAGCCTTTGTCCCACCACGAACAAACTACAAGGCAGCAGTTGTTTGATTTTGGAGTTGTCTCTCCTAGAAGAGCGGCTGTCCCCAGCTAACGCGCTTCATCTGCGCGAGAGTCGAACTTGAGACTTTTCGGTTTAGCAACTATGAGCTTTACCGACTCGACCACACCAACCCCGGAAATCTAAAACTAATTAGATGTAGGGTATATTTAAATTTGTGTAAAATCTTTTAACATAAGTATATTTTCAATGATGCCTGTTAAACCTGTATTTTTTTTAAATTCCAGACCAAATATGACCACACGTTTATTGACATTGCTCATTGTAACAAGAGCTCGTTTTATTTCTCGAGACTTTCTCTGCCTAAAAATATAAAGACCAATTTTTTAAAATTTATTTTGAATTAGCGTCTTTTTAGTGTAGTACTAGTGCACATCTATCTTGTATAAACATATGGTAGCAAAAATCTTACTCAATACAGCAATATGTAGTGTTTAAATAACATGCCAAAATAGAATAACAAAGGATGTCCGATGTTTACCCGCGAAAAACCACAAATGTCCAAGTTATTTCTGTACCAGCCAATGAGAATCAAGGTAAAAGCAATACATGTCATCAGCTAGCACACGAAATGGACTAAAGTGATGACATAATTTGATGTTTGAGGACATTCTAATATAAATTTGATTGACATATGCCCAGCGTTAATCAAAAGATTTTATCTGAATGTCTAGCATTCTGCAAACCTCACTTTCTACACCAGAGACACAAAACAACATCATCAATATGACAAGCGATATGCTTCTGAAATTCACAGAAATACAAATTGTAAAGAGTAAATCACACTTTATCATGCTCAAAGAGAGATAGAATCAACAATTCATCCCCGACAGGCCAGAGCATCCTCTTGTGCAGCATAAGACAGAAACCACGCTCACGATGCCCGTGTCGCTCCCTTGTCTGACCACCTAAAACAAGCCTACATAACTATCCTGCCTAGTCTAAAATGTAAAGACATAAGAAACTAAAACAATAGGTATGTGAACAAAACAACCCATTTTTTGAAGAACTGCCAAACGACGACCTAAGCAAGCCTAAGTCAGAAGAAGAGCAAAGCTAGTGCGTAAGACAGAATGTAAAATCTGCGTGAAATTATTACATTGACCATCTGATTTGTAATACTATAGGTCCATGGCTATAAGTATTAGCATAATAAATGGTTTTTCAATATATATTGATTGATTTTCAATGCTTTAACGTGAGTTGTGTAGAATTACAAAGGAAAAAGAACTCCAGAATGTGTATGCATTTTTTTTTTAAATTTCTGAATACGTGGTTCGACCTGGTATCTAAATGAATACACCTACATATCAAGGATTGAACTAAGTTTCATTAAAAAAAAATCTAATTTTAAATCAAAATGTAACGCGTGTGAAGCTACCAGAGTCTGCAAACACTAAATTTCGTTTTTCTCGAAAGTGAAAAAGTGTGACAATTGTGGTTCAGGCATTGTGGTCTTTATATATTCTGATACATTTCTTTAAATTGGCTTAGTTATCTATACTATACGCTCCTTCGATAAAACTGTTATTGATTTTACGAAAAATGCGAATCAGGGATGACACAATAACAAACCCATCTGAGCCAAAGCTTTTCCTTGCATAACAATAGTGTGAATTACGCAGGACTTAGCTGTATGTTGCAACGCCCAC